TATTTTTCTTTTGTTGTGTTACTTTAAGTCCAGCGGTGTCCGGCGTCCAGTCTACTTCTTGGAGTTTTAATCTCCTTTATGGAATTGTGTTTTAGCGTTGGTTTTGGTCTCTTTGTTGGATGTTGTATTCTCTTGGACACATGTGTTGTTTCAAGCGGAGTAGGTTCAGATTTTTTGGTTTCTTTGATGTCAATTGACACCTACGTTTGAACTCTTTTGAGTTTTAGAATTTTTAATATAATTGTCGTTTCAATAATAAGAAGAAGTTATTCCTGCCAAACTCTTTTATAATACAATTTAGTTTGACTTAAGCTCGGCTTGTTCGATCTCAAATGGGTAATCGAGATTGGTTATTATTAAAAGAGACTTTTCGAGTTTGTTTGCGAACAACTCGTTTTCTATTTTTATTTTTTAATTTTTTTATGTTTTACAAAATGAAACAGATGAACCGATTTTTTTTTTTTGTTTTTTTGTCGAAACGATAGATTTTATAAAAACAAAAACACAAGCAAACAAACTAGAACCTATCCATACAACTGACTACAACAGCCACATGGCCGAAGGAAGAAACTACATCGCTGAATTTTGTAGGGAGAACTACCCAAAGGTAGCCTAGAACCTCCCTACCACAACACACATACTAAACGCTTCCAAAAGGAGAATAACAAAAGAAAAGCTCCCACCAGGAGTATAAACATAACGTACTCCCAACGAGAGAAGAAGTGAATAACACGAACAACACACAAATACGACTCTTAACACCTGAAACTAATAACAACAATCTACACCACCCTTCTGCAGCCGACAACCACACCAAGCTAACCAATGGAGACACCAATGGATATCCAACCACACGGACAAAGTTGAAGCCTATGAACCTGAACCTGAAACTGCCAAACAAATGCCTAACTAGATCAGACGCCATCACACCCAAGCCACGTCCAGACGGATACCCGAGCCTCGCACCCGAAGATCCACACCACAAACCACACAAAATATATTGGCAAACTAGGCCTGACCCCAGAAACCAAGCCCACGACCCAAGATTTTCGGACATCACCTTCGTCTAACGCCAGAGATGGGAGAGACATGGAGGCAAGTGGCAGAACCCTCCACCCTGGACCCCCTAGAGGGAGGAAATGAGGTCGTGGCCCACCCCAAATAAGTGCCAAAGGCTCGCCCAATGTTTCAAAAATACTGGCAAAACATTCTTCCTCATCGCCAACCTAGCAGCCTTAAAATAGGTGAGATCTGAACCAGGAATTGGGCACCGCCTTCGCCACTAAAAACCCCACCTTCATTCGGCGATTCTACAAAAAACAGTCCACGAGGACCAAGGACGCCCCGCCAAGAAACCTTGGACAGCCCGCAGGCAACCAACCGAAACACCAAAACGGAACACCCTCCTTGGAGCACCACACCTACCAAACCCCAAAAGAAAAGAAAATTTCATTTTCGTGAATACCTCATTTAAGGTTTTATGTGTGGAGCTAAAAAATTGAAGAGAATGAAGCGACCATTTTTCCCAACATTTTCTCAGAGTTTGTTATTAATTCAAATGGTTACAAAAAAAAAATGAGAAAGATAATCATATTCCCCTTATATACGAGAACCCAATGTGCTAGTAACAACAGTCACTTAAAACCAATACATGACTAAAAGAAGCAAGAAGCGTGAACACACCTTAACAAAGAAAATGCAACACTGAAAAGAAAAATAGGAAAATAAAATATCATGAAAAATAACAAAATAAAGGAACATAACATGCATGGCAACAGTCCCCCTCAAGAGGGAATGTGAGAAGCATACACCATTCCCATTTTAAGGAGCGTCTGAAATCAGGTCCACCCCATGATTAGGGAAAAACCAACCACTTGCAAAGAGGAGGAGATATGTTGAGGTTAAAGAAACCCTTCCTTGATCTTATTTTGGACAACTTGACACTCTATGTCCAGGTGTTTTGTCTGTACATGGAAAACATGATTGGTAGTGATTTGAAGAGGCGCCTTATTGTCAAATCAATGATTAATAGGTGTAGAAACCGGAATCCACAAGTCTTGAGCTAGCCCAAACAACCATTGAAGCTCACAAATATTTGAATCCATATACATATATTTGACCTTAGCAGAAGATCTAGAAACAGTCTTTTGCTTTGTTATTTTCCAAGAGATTAGAGCATTGCCTAGAAAAATGCAGTAACATGTAAGTGATTTTCTTATAAGAGAACATTTCCCCCAGTCTGCATCCCAATAAACATTGAGAAGAAAAGAAGACGCAGCAGGGAAGAAAAGGTCCAATGAATATGTCCCTTTAAAATACTTAACCAAGCATGAATTGATACTATCCAATGTGATTATGTAGTGGCTTGAATAAATTGACTTAGTTGTGGTATAACATAAGACACATTTGGTATAGAGAAGTTCATATATAATAATCTACCCACCAATCGTCTATAGTTTTCAGAATCCTCCAATCGATCAGTGTTATGGGGTTAAAACCTTGTGGAAAGGGAGTTGACGCTGTCCTAAAATCTTGTAATACGAAATCGTGAAACAGATGAAGAATATAGTTGTGTTGACTAAGATGAGTCCAATTGGAGTTATAAACAATCTCAGGCCCCAAGAAATACTTATCCAAACCAAGATCCTTAATAGTTAACAAACCATCAAAATACTTCTTTTTATCCTTTATGGATGGTTCAGTATCCCCTCATTAGTGTATATACTTAAAGCTTGGATTTTTGCATAATATACAATATATTTATTTTGAATGAGAATCATGTTTAATTAAACTGTCTTATGTTCTGATGTTTTACATTTGGATAATGTGGTTCATCATGGATGAACATAAGACCACATATAGTTTACTTGTAAAACTTGAATACTCAAGTTCACAAAAGCGAGACTCATTCTGCTGGGTTTATAGTCTGATGTGTTTGGGTAGTGATGTTGTGTGTATGGTGTATTGTTCGATTATTTACAGTCACCGTGTGCAATAGTTTGATGATGTCCCCGAGATGAGCTCAAAAAAGATTATTATGTTAAACCATGCAAGTGGATTAAGTTCCAACATAATAATAAAGCATTGAGTGGATTAATTAATTTACGGACTTTATGCTTATAAAGGGAGAGATAAATCGAGTAATTTTTATAAGAGCCTCAAATGTAATTTGGGATCCAAATGGAGAGATCGACAATATTTCATTAATGGACTGATATCTTGTTCAAGTATGAACATAATGGACTTTGCCCTGTTAGGTTTTATGAGGAACTTCATCGATATACCCGTTCAAATCTATTAAAATAAATCCCAACGCAGCAGAATCTATTGTTAGGATTATGACTTATGGTTTAAAATATTTGTCAATTCTGAGACGTTTCTGATTTCTGCTGTTGGAGATTGTCTAAATCTCAGACCGTTGGGCTGTCGGACATGGCCTCATCAACGCGACACCGATTTCTCGTCAGGCTCGTTAGACCGCCTCGGACCTCTGGTTTGTTAGTCGTACGACTCGTGACACACCGTGGGCTCTTCAGGACCCCTTGACTGTTGCTGAACCTGTTAGGCAATGTATAGAACGAGCTGGAGTGGACTGGTGCACCGCATGCTAACTGGGTTAGGTCTCGTCACGTTCGGGCTGAGGCTGCACGTGCACGGGCCGCTGGTGCCGAGGAATGACTCGCTGGGGTGCTCTGGTCACGCTGTCACCGAGAAATAACACGCTAGGACGTTGCATCGCCGAGACGGGTCGCACTGGGCACGTGGGTCCCTGTGTCAGGTTTTCACGAAAGATACGGGCCATGCAGGGAAGTCGCAGATGTCACAGTTTGCTGGGTCACTGTGGAAGTCCCGCGGGTCGTATCGTCTGCATGCTAGGACGCTGCGAGCTTGCGCGGTCTGCACGGGTCTGCCTGTGCAGGCTGTGCCCGGCCGGTGCTTGGGCGACGCGTGGGGCTCCGACACCGGTGCGTACGGCTTCCGCTGGTGGTTGTGGTCACAATGATGGATTGGCATTCTTCCGGTGGTCATCCTCTCCATGTTTCATGCCCATCCGACGTGCTGCAAGGCTGTATATATTCAACGAGATGTTTATATATATTTGTTAGGATATGGATACATAATCTTGGATCATCTATTGTGTGAACTTTACACCATCTCTGGTCAATCATGGTAGAGCGATTTGCTTGTCCCGTATTTGTTGCTATTTTTGTTGGTGTTTTGCTTGCCTTTTTTCCCAAATTTAGCTTGTTTTTAGGTGTTTCCAGTCTGCCTAGTCGTTTCTTGTATTTTATTGTTATTTTGGTGTGTTTGGTATTTTTCATTATTTTTCTTCCTATTTTCTCGGTTTTCGTGTTTTTTCGGTTGTGGTGGTTACAAGTTCTAGACGAGGAAAGAAGTACTCCGTTCCAGTACCTAGGAGTTCCATGTTGTTCGTGCGACGCAAGCAGGCAGAAATCGAGTTTTAATCTCGGGCAGAACCCGAGAAACATTAGCCGTGAGCTCACGAGTCACCTGACGCAGCAAAAGCAAGAACAAACGGGAATAAGAGTAAAAGTAGGAATGATACTTGTATTATTCTTCAAAATCTGCCTTCATCAATCGCATAAGCCACATAAATAAAAGATAGTCCTCTTAATTCAAAAAACCTATCTTGTTTGAAGACTAGCTAGGATCTTTGTTTGGGTCAGTGGTGAGTCTTTTTGCCAACTAGAAGTATCCTTGTTTGGATTTATTTATTTTTTTTTTCACATAACAGAATGATGATCCATACATGACTTATGGTTACAATATTCATAGGCACAGATCAATAGATCCTATACTCTCCTTCGTAAAGCTGAAAAAATAAAGAAAAAAAAAAAAATTTGTTTGGAAAACTCGACTGGGAAAATTTGCGACTGATCAGCTACATACATCAAATTAGGATCATCTTCATAGTCGAAATCATGTTCACTAGAATGCCTTCTCTTTACCTTCCTCGGCACTCTACCTTTCTTCGGTTTTCAAGGTCCGTTTGCTGAGACACCACCATCTCTGGCAACTTCTTCAGCAGCTGGAGACGTGACAAAAGACAATGAGAAGAGCATGTCTTCCGGTTGAAAGTTCCGGGATCTTTTCAAGATTGTAGTGTTCTTGGAGGAAGACAAAAATCCCTCGGAACCTTTCAAGACATTGACACATTGACTTGGGTCCTGTAAATAACTCATTTCCATATCATAAACCTGTTTTTCAATATTCCGGAGTTCTTCGTGCAGTTTAGCCGTTTTACATAGGAGAGCAGTCAACATTGTCGAAGGGTTTGAAGAAGTTCGTGGCTCTTCGGAATCTATGTTAAAGAATTAAAATTCAAGGCTTGTGATTGGCCTCGACTTGACACTCCTTGTTGCGATTGTTTTCAGGTGGGCAGTACGAGGCAAACCTTTCGAAATCCATGTCATGTGTCTTTGCCTTTGTGGAGGGCTAAGTTCTTACTCTTTTCTCTTTACTGTACTTGGGTGTGTGTTATCCTTGGTGTGCTTCTTGCATTTGGGGTCACCGAACTCTGTATTCAGTTTCCGAGTAATATATCCTATCGATTTGGAAAGAAAAAAACAAAATCTTTGCTCGGTGATCGTATATTAAGAATAATTTTTCAAATAAAATCGATAAATGTGCTATTTATTTAGCCTACATAAATAGATGAGACTCAACAAGAAGTTTTGTGAAGATACAAAAAGCATATGGGATAGCTTACAAGGGTCAAAACATCAGAAAATTAGAGAAACAGTGCACAACAGAAAAAATAGTTTATCAAATTTTTGATAGTTCACCATGAAGGGCATGAACATAAACACAGTCACATCAACCCCAAAATCGATATACGACCGCCAAATACCCGTCTAACCCCTCCGAACAGTCCTAGTTTCAACATAGTTAACTCAGGACCCCTCAACAATGAACATCAATTGAAAAGGAGCCAAATTATCCACCTAACACATCTCATAGGCAGTCACACAACACACATAACTGTGGATATCAACAAACAATCAATGAGCCTAATTAACCCCGAACATATACTGGCCACAGTCTCATAACACATAGAACACAGCCATACCTCAGAATTGAAAAAACAAAATAAATAAAATAGGGGCCGACGAGTATAATCTGAGATCACCAGTTCACCTTTGCCTCAATGCTTCATGTGAGTTTACTTCTAGCTTCTGGACCGGGCGCTCGGCGGGTCGCTGCGTTCAAAATGAGCATTCCTGAACGGGTCTGTACCTAGGTACTTGCTAGATACACAACTCGGCGGGCTAGGCCGATTTAGTGACCCAGCGGGTTTGTTCCAATCCGGAACCAGGCCATTCCAAAAAAAGAAACTAAACAAATGGTGGTTTAGTCATGAAAAAATTTCGGGTCGTGCCGGGCCCGTCCGGGAGGGTTGTCGGGATCAAAATGACTGACCCTGAACTGGCTCGGTGTAAATTCGGGCACGGGCCTCAACTCGTGGTCTTGAACCAGGCCGACTTCGTGCCGGTTCTATGTCGGGTCGGCCGTTGTCATGTCTAGTTGTTACAAGTTAACTCTCTTGGAGGCTTGGAGCTAGTGTTTTTATCGAACCAAACGATTTGAACTTGAGCTTTTCGAGCACGCGTTAAATTATGCTCAAATGTTGTTATCGTTTAGTATCCGAGCGAAAATATGTAGTCGAGCTCGTTCGTTTAAATATTGGATAAATTTGTGTTTGAAAACTTTAGTAAATAGATATTTTAAAATTATTTTATTAACATGAGATATGTTCGTTCGAACTTGTTCAAGCACGAAAATAAAAAAACATATTAAATTAAATAAAAAATGTTCATATTGTAGATTCTTTATTAAATATCATATATATATAATAAAAGATAATATATCATATATATATAATAAAAGAAAACAATATCATATATATATAATATCATATATATATATAATAAAAGAAAACTATATCATATATATAAAATAAAAGAAAACTATAATAAAACTATATCAATGTTTGTGAACATTATTAAACGTTTGTGAACGTTCTCGCTTCGTATCAACTATCACACGAGCCAATATTTACTTTCGATCTCGACTTGATTAACAAAATAATGAGCTCTTAGTAAACGCGGATGAGCTCGAATAAGCCTTTGTTCAAGAAAGTTCGGTTCGTTAACAACCCTAACTACTTTTTATATGAGTCGTAATTTAATTACATATTTTTTTTTAAAATAAAGTCATGTTAATTATTACTATGATACTATGACATTTTTTTAAAATGTCATCATATAATTATAGTTTTTAACATATTTTGTTATATTGTTATTTTTTTAATGTTTTTTAAACAATGTCAAAATTGATATGGGATATTATACCTCGACAAGTAAACTGGTGCAACGAGCGGGTCGAGCACAGCCAAACATAGATGAGACAGAGCTGGTCGAAAAGGATATGAGGGAACACAACCACAGTAAGATCACCTTAGTGCCGAGGGGGCGAGAGTCTTGGTACAAAGAGCAGCTTAGAAGGTAGAGGAAGTCTGGTCGACAAGAAGAGAGTTCGAGCAAAGAGTCGTCCAGGTGGTCGATACCAGGGTTAGGAGTGACTCAATGGTTGAGCACCCAGAAAGGGGGATAGGACGTGAGACATTGACTTGGATAAGGTCAACTATGAGAGTCTCCAACGGAATTGTCAGAGTGACGTCAGGAGAATCAGAGAGGGAATATTTTACCCATGTGCAGAGGACACGTGGCTTGAAGATATTGGTGCAGAGGATAGTGGCGGTGGCTACCTCTGCCACACGCACACTGCGTGTGTGCGGACGGGCAGTTGGGGCAGACAGCTCAGCCAACCCGAGCAGCTCCTAGGGCAGGTATCTCACCAATATATATATGGGGTGAGTCTTTCTTGTCAAACACGATCATTCTACTTTTACTCTTGAGAATTGATAGAACAAACACTGACTTAAGCTTTGGAGGCTCTTCACTGGAAAATCCCTCCGGTGTGAGAGTTCTTTGTAGGTGCACGATGCTTAATCGGCGAGAAGGAAAGCGATTACTCGGAATCCAGCCGGTCGGGGAGTTTTGTATTACCAAAAACTATATAGTTTAATTATATTTTTTAAAAGAGCCACTAAATTTACATTGATAATACTACGAAACATTTTTCAAAGTGATAATATATAACGACACCTTTAAAAAGGTGTTTTCATATAGATAAAGAATAACATTTTTTTACAAGCATCATAATTCAATAACATTTTTAAAAGAATGTCACCATGTTGTATAATAATGCGACAATTGTTTAATAATGTCACTAACTAAATAATTATGCTTTTTTAAGTGTTATAAGCTTAAAACTGACGACAAAATTGTATAAGTATCCTAACATAATTACATTTTGAGGTAAAATGTTATCATATTAGTAAAAATTGTGACATTTTCTAAAAATGTGATATTGTTTTAATGCAGTCTCTAATTTGTGTCGCCATACAAACTAACATAACGACACTTTCATATAAATCATCGTAATTTAATTACACTACAAAAATTAAAATAGGTCCTATAATTTGGCCAAAATTCAAAATCCATCCCGTCATTGACCACTTTCAAATTGGTTCCAATAATTTGACAATTTAATCAAATCTTTGTCCTTTATTATCCGCACCTCGAATAAAAAAGTGACGTGAAATTTTTAAATCTGACATGGCGTGATTATGGTTTATATTGCGAGATTAGAAAGTTTGACTTCAAAATCAAACTAACTACATCAGCCCCAGACTTTAATTGCAATTAACTATAACTTTTAAAATTGCAAAATGGTCCATAAAACTTATTAAGTTTAAAAAACGAGCACTTGCAATCCTAAAATTTTAGAAACGAACCTAAATTGTCTTCTGCTGCAGGCTGACCACCGATTATAATTTTTTTTTACATCATCTTCAAGCTTTTCTCTTCCTCGTTCACCTCTTAAAATTTTCGGCAAAAATTCCACATGTAAGGACTTCAATTGCTCTGGTCAAAGTATTTAGATTTAGAAAATTCCGATAAATCCAGTCTTCTTCTTCAATTTTCCAGTGACTCACGGCGACCCACCAATATCCGATGACACCCCCAAACTCCTCGTGACTCTGTGCTCCCGACGGCGTACACTATCTCTGGAACCGACAACTTTTTTTGGCGCCTCTGCTGCCTGTTGCGGCCTCCCGCAATTCTGCCTTTCCTCCCGCCCTTCCCCCTCCCTACCCACGACGTAGCCTTCATCCATTGTTGGCCCCCACAAAAGAGATGTTTTGCCTCTTTTCGGCCCCCGCAAAAAACATGTAGTTAACTCATGTTTAGATTTTTAGACTTTGGTCAAATTATAGAACTAATTTTGAATTTTGGCTTTGATTATACCTTTGTTCCCAACATTAGTTAACACGGTGACACTTTTAAAGAGTGACATGATTTAATTATATTTTTAGGAAAGCTTTTGTTTTAATTTTATCAATGTAACGCGTCATATTAGATGACAATCAACTCACACTTGTATGAAATCAACAAGAAAGGAAAGATTAAATTGAAGAACAGATTATTTGTGTTACACGAGAGATGAAGGGATATAAAGAGAAAAGAGAGATGAAAAACTGCGGATGAGAGAAAAATGAGAAGAACTTATGAGATTAGGGTTTCTACTCCCTATTTATACTATCTGCCTATTCTAAAAGTGTTAAAGAGAAAATAACACTTTTTATACAAAGTAAAATAACAACTATATAAAATATAAGATAACTTCCTATTCTATTACCCCCCCGCAAGTGAAGCATGTATGTTGGGCATGCTTAACTTGGATGTGAGGGTTTGAAATATGGGGCCAGGTAGTGCCTTGGTTAAGAAATCTGCAAGCTGGTCTTTGGTGGAGATGTGCTTGAGATGAATTAGGCCTTGGGCTATCTTTTCCCTTATTAAATGGCAGTCCAGATCTATGTGTTTGGTCCTCTCATGGAACACAGGGTTGGATGCCATTGCTAAAGCTGATTTGCTGTCTGTGAACATGGAAACAGGCAAAGTAAGTGAAATTCTGATTTCAGAACAAAGAGAGAGCAACCATTGAATTTCACAAGTGGCCAGAGCTAAGGCTCTATATTCAGCTTCAGCTGAGGACCTACTTATGGTAGGTTGTTTCTTGGACTTCCATGAAATAAGGGAGTCACCAAGAAAAACCATATATCCAGTGACACTCCTTCTTGTGTCAACACAAGAGGCCCAGTCACTGTCAGAGTAAGCAGTTAAATGTAAAGAGGAGTGTCTGGGAAAACCAATACCTTTGCCAATAGTACCTTTAACATACCTGACTACCTTGTTGGCTGCCTGAAGATGCATATGAGATGGACTAGATAAAAATTGGCTTAAGCACTGAACTGAAAATGCAATGTCAGGCCTACTAATGGTTAAATATAATAATCTCCCAACTAATCTCCTATATTCAGATGGGTTGGTAAGTAAAGGAGAATCACTGTTTTTGCTCAGTTTAACAGAAGAATCCATAGGTGTAAGTGCAGGTTTGCTGCCAAGTAAGCCAGTATCATTTATAATATCTAGAGCATATTTTCTCTTGCACATATGAATACCTTTCTCTGAATGAGCAAATTCCAAACCCAAAATGTACTTGAGTTAACTTAAGTCTTTTATAGTAAAGCATGCATCTAAGTGAGCTTTAATGGCAGTTATTTGAGCAAGATCATTACCAGTAAGTATGATATCATCTACATAAACAAGTAAGATGATGACAAATTGGGATGAATGCATGTAAAATAAAGAACAATCAGCAACAGATTGGCAGAATCCATATGCAATGAGACAAGAAGTCATTTTGTGAAACCACTGCCTTGAGGCTTGTTTTAAGCCATACAGGCTTTTAGTCAGCTTACACACTTTGGTTTCAGACTGAGAACAGTAACCTGGGGGAGGTGTCATGTATACCTCTTCATTTAAGTCACCATGAAGAAATGCATTATTGACATCTAACTGATGAATATGCCAATGTTTTATGGATGCTAATGCAACAAGAAATCTGACAATAGTGATTTTTGCAACTGGAGAAAAAGTGTCAAAATAGTCAATGCCCTCTTCTTGAGTATATCCTTTGGCAACTAATTTGGCTTTATACCTTTCTATAGTGCCATCAGATTTATATTTTACTTTATAAACCCATTTGCAACCTATGCAATGTTTTCCTTTTGGAAGATCAGTTAAAATCCATGTATTAGTTTGTTCAAGGGCTTTTAACTCTTTATGCATTGCCTCTACCCATAAAGGATCTTTTGCTGCTTGTTTGTAAGTTTTGGGTTTACATATAGTGGATATAGAAGCAGTAAAGCAGCTATGGGAATTAGATAACATTTCAGTAGATAGAAAATCAGATATTGGGTATTGAGATGTTCCAGGTGTGTCTGAAAGTGTGTTTGCGGAACAAGGAGCAGCATGATGATTGACAGAGTGTTTGTAAATGTTCAGATAAGCAGGGATTTTATGAGTTCTGGAAGATTTTCTCCTGTTAGGGGAGGAATGTTGGACAGAAGTAACAGGTTGAGGTACAGTAGGAGAGGAGATGGGGTTAGAGTGTGGGGAAGGAGGTTGAGATGGATGTGATGGAGATGAACATTGTGGGGAAGGAGGGGAATTGTGATTAGAGACATCATTGATAGGTAAAGCAGGAAGTATAGAGGTGTGTCGAGTGTCATCAAAAGAAAATAATGAATCTGGTTGTGGAAATAATGGAGTAGATATATCAGAAGAGGAATGATCAGAAAAGGGAAACACACTTTCATAAAATATGACATTCCTGGAAATCAATGTCTTCTTGGTATCTAGGTTGTAAAGTTTATAACCTTTACAACCCATTGGATACCCAAGAAAAATGCACTTAGAAGCCCTGGGATCAAATTTGTGTCTGTTAGCAACAAGAGTAGAGGCATAACACAAGCAACCAATGACTTTCATGTGATCATAAGTGGGCTGTTTATTATAAAGCATTTCAAAAGGAGATTTGTTTTGAAGAATGGGAGTGGGAACTCTGTTTATAATATGGGCAGCAGCTAATACACAGTCAATCCAAAAATGCAAAGGAAGATGAGCATGGAATAATAATGCTCTAGCTACTTGAAGGAGATGCTGATGCTTTCTTTCTACCCTTGCATTTTGTTGAGGGGTCTCAACACATGATGTTTGATGTAATATGCCATGATCATTATAGAATTGTTTGAGAAAAAATTCAGTGCCATTGTCAGTTCTAATAATCTTGATTTCTTATCAAATTGAGTTAAAACCATGTTGTAGAAATGACTGAGATGATGTTTGATGTCAGATTTTAGAATGACTGGATAAATCCAAGTAACTCTACTATAATCATCTACAATGGTGAGAAAGTATTTGTGACCTGAATGAGATGCAGTTGAGAATGGACCCCAAACATCACAGTGAATTAAATCAAAAGGATGATCAGAAATTGAAGTACTATCAGCAAAAGGTAACCTCTTTTGTCTTGAAAAATGGCAAACATCACAAGGAACAGAAGTTTTATTAGCAGATGGGCATAGAGACAAAGGAAAGATTAATTGAAGAACAGACCATATTAGATGACAATCAACTCACACTTGTATGAAATCAACAAGAAAGGAAAGATTAAATTGAAGAACAGATTATTTGTGTTACACGAGAGATGAAGGGATGTAAAGAGAAAAGAGAGATGAAAAACTGCGGATGAGAGAAAAATGAGAAGAACTTATGAGATTAGGGTTTCTACTCCCTATTTATACTATCTTCCTATTCTAAAAGTGTTAAAGAGAAAATAACACTTTTTATACAAAGTAAAATAACAACTATATAAAATATAAGATAACTTCCTATTCTATTACGTCACATACACTTTGGATTTTACTTACATTTATTGAAAAATGTACGAATATTTAATTTTTTTTTATTTTTTTTATTTTTTTATTTTTTTTGCAAATCGGATATTTAAATTGATACACTCTTTTTATTGTAGTGTATGTACGTACATATAGACAACATTATGGAGACACTTGAAAATAGGGCACTTATTTTAACGTTTAACAATAGATGGATTGAATGTCAAATGTAGAGCAACCAAACCTCTCCACCCTACTTTAGTAGACTCCATCCCCAAAACATAACTAATTAAGAATTTTAATGACTTTTGTGCAAAAAATCAAGTATAAATTGATGGTTTTTCATCAAATCAGACACAAACAAATAGAATATTTTAGCATATACCATAAATAGTAGAAAAAAATTGAAATGGCTCAAAATTGCGACTCGGCTCTTTTCCTCGTTGCTCTCCTCCTCTTTGTTGCCTCTAAACCACTTGCCCACGCCCAATTGCCAATAAGGCCACTGAATGTAACTGGTCAGATATGTTGCACGTCCACTGGAAACTGTCCTGGTCAAGGTGTTCCTAGGGTGGTTGTCAGTTTGAATTGCACGATTCTCAACTCGACAATTACCTTGGGCCGCAACACAACCAACGCTAACGGGACATTTTCTATTTCTGTTCCGGCTGTGGTGGGAACTGTCGGTAGCTTGCCCTTACTCCCGTGTACCGTTAGTACGAGCCTTTCTATCAACCGTGTTGTGTGCCCGGTGCTCTCGACCATAAACAGCACACTCGTGTCTGCCCTCCGCCCTATTACCATCGTGTTGGGTTTAGTTCAAAATGCTACCGCAACTGGATTTTTCAATGTGACGCTGACCTAACTATGACAAAGCTAAACGACTTGTGTTCGTGATGATGATTCTCATATGTAACCTGTACTTTATGTATGTACACAAATAAATGATTAATAATCTTGCATGTATGCATGCATGCAGTCGAAAATTGTGAGTTACTATTATATTGTGCCTGTTGATTTTTGAATCAACAATATTGTGTAATGTCTACTTGTTTGTAATTTCTTGTTTTCAATAAAGTTTTAGCAAAAATTAAGTGGCGACAAATAATAAATCGTGGCAAATAATATTTTTCAATAAATTAAATAAATGAATTAAATAAATAAAAAAAAAAAGTATGTTTTCTAGTAGTGTGACCAGTTTCATAAATAAAATGAGTTTAAGTAGGAAACAAAATAATTATTTAAATGTGTCAAGCATTAATAATTTCTATTTTATATCAAGTTCTAGCTTGAAGTAGAATTAGAGAATCAATTAATTTACAATGCACACTCAAAAGAATGCCACACTTCGGCTCATTTGCAGCTAAATGCATAGACTTAGACATCTTAATCAATTCAGACATACTACTAATCTTGTAATTACAGTTTTTAGTGAGTGGAAAACGTAATAATAGAGATCATTGCATTATAATTTCATAAAAATACTTTTATTTAACGTACGGAATGAACTAGGCATTAAACATAATCCTTTTTTTTCATCCAAATGGCAAACCGATTTTATATTCTCTTGCAATTTTTGGTGCAAAAATATTGATTTTTTATGATTCATAATTAATAATTGTATTTTTTTTAATAGGGAAAAAATAAAAATTGAATGAGGCAAAAACATGTTTTCAGTCATTTTGGCACCTAAAAGACAAAAAATATTCTTACTATCTAATTTTCTTACCAAAAAAAAAAGGTTCCCATAAATCGATTTTTTTTTTTGTTCCAGAAACGATTTATGGTTCCAGAAATCATTTCCGAAATCATTTCTGGGATCTCAGAAATTGTTTCGGGTCCTACAAATGATTTCTGATCCCACAAATTATTTATGGATCCAGAAAGAAATGATTTCTGGAACTTACTGGTTCTAGAAACGATTTCTAGGGAAGTCGTTTATGGGATCACAGAAATCATTGAAATATCTCAAAATGGGTTTTGGTTCACAAAATTGTTTATGGGATCTCAGAAACAGTATAAACATCCAAAAACATTTTTTGAATCATATAAACTGTTATTGTGATCCAGAAATCGTTTGTGGTTCAAACTTAATTCCCAAATGTTTCTTTACATTGTTTTGTCAGTAAAATATTTTTTTTTTTTTTTTGTTACCTAAGTGGCATGGTCGCGCCTGTCGCGACAGCCTTCACGCCGCTACGATACGGTCTATATCACGCATGTCGCGACATACTTTATTTCGCGACGTTACGGTCTTTAAAATGGCATGGTCGCGTCTGCCACGACTTCCTTCACGATGCGACATCTGAAATGCTAAAGGATGCTACCCGTGTCACGGCGCGACTAGTTGTGCAGCTCACAAGTTGTCCCGTCACGTCAAGCGCGACTATGATCGTGTCGTGAGGCAACATTTTTTTTTCAACTTTTTTTAGAGTTGGGGTGTCGCGTGGGTTTAGTCCCGAGAGTTGGGCATGAAGGATGTTCTAATCAAGTTATGTTATTTGAGATGAATATAGTGATCACATTATATACGCATCCGGACATGCAGGCTTACGTGCCAACTGAAAAGGGCAAAATAAATTAACACTAACAATGACTGTTGAGCTGAAACAATATTTCCCATCAAGTACACATATGATCCAATGAAACATATTGCATTTTCTCGAGTTTGGTAAGTACACGTGCATCATTAAACTGGAAAACCAATTAACTGAAATATAGAGTCCCTTAAACAACTTTTTATGCATGAGTAGCATAAAATGAAGATCCAACTATTCCACTTGTTTGCCATGAAATTGATAGAGCTAGTGACTACACAATAGGCTCGTTGCAAGAAAAGGAACAAAGCTTGGCCAGTTATGTTGGATTTTAACTTTGATGAAGAGGAAAAGGACTTTCATTTCATCAAGAAATGTTGCACTTTATTTAAATAAGGATAAAAGGTACATATTCAAAATACTTACACTGTTATGCCAACATAGCACAACAAACGCTGATCTAGACAAATTAAAAAGAGACTCTGAAATTAATGCGCTAATAAATCTGCCTTAGATGTTATCAATAGGTCCAACAAGCATTCTAAGAAGTCCTCTGAACTAGACAGTAAATCCTTAGCTCTTGAAATCTTTAACACCCATAGAACTAATTGTCCAATGAGTACATCCTCAAGACTCTTTGATTAATTGCAACTTTAAATGTCTGAGAGCAATCTTATACTAGCATATTTGAATTAAAAAAGAAAAAACTTTCAAAAGATGGCTTAATGATGAATTAGGAAGATAACAAACCATAAGACAAGATATAGTTATTGCAATAGCAACAGCTCTAAGTTGACAGAAAAAAAAAAAAAAAATCCCCGAAAGAACCATCTACCTGAATACAATGTGTTATAGAATCATGGATAAGATGGGGAAAGTTAGAAGTCCAAATGATTGTAATTTTCATGTTATTCAGTATACAAAATTCCTTGATGAATCGTTATAGTTTCCTTTCTTCATTTACGAGCATGGCTTACGAAGATGTTGAAGTCTGAAATGCAAATCTATGCCAATCCAGAAGTAGAGTGGGACGGAAGAATTCAGTTTCACATTAGTTGCTACTAGAAGAAGTAAATGTACTACTGCCATGACTTTCTTCCTTCAGCCCATAATAAACTGTTTCTGACTATTACATATAGGTTGCAACACACAGTAACTTTAAGTTGGTGCCTAACCAATGATCAAGAAAAAGATTTCAGCTCTTTTTTTAAATGGTCCAACTATAACTTAGCATTATGCTTTACTAAAGGAAGTAGCTCTTCTTTTTTAAAATACATTTATCATTGTGTGATGACTTGAACAGGGTGCTAACTGATTTTTGGTGGGGGAAGCCGGAGGGTGTGCGACAGAGAGTGCATTGCGTTGGGTCAGAATCTGTAGCTAAACGTAAATTAGATAGTGGGCTAGCTTTCAAGAATTGCAAAGTTCTTAACCGAGCTCTTTTAGGTAAACAATTATGGAGATTGCTCACTCAACAAAACTTACTCATGAGAAGTGTCTTGAAGGGTAGGTACTTTGAATAAAGAAAATCTAATGAGTGTTAAGAAAAAAAATGAGTGGTGACTCAAGGCTGTGGAACAGTTGGCTGGGGGACAGAGAAGGGCTAAGGTTAGGGGTCAAAATCAAGTAGGTGATGGGAAGTCAACTAATGTGTGGGAGTCCCCTTGTAACTCTAATGTCCCAACAATCAAACCTAGATGTCAGTTTGAGAATGATAGAAGGAGAATCACTTGGGTGAAGGATTTTTTGTTGCAAGAGAGTATGTTGTTGAGCAAATCATGCAGATACCTTTGAGTATTTTTTACTCTAGATGATAAACTGGTCTAAGATTCTACCAAGAAAGGAACATTCACCGAAAAATCTTTGTACGAGCTCCTGATTTCCAAACACTTGGATACACACAAGGTGCAAAACCTAGCAGAAAACCAGGCATGAAGCTAAGATGTAGTAGAGGACTTGGAAACTACCAGTCAAGAAATCAAGAACAAGATCAAGAACTTTATATGTAAAAGATGGCATGGCTTCCTGGGAACTAAACATAATCTGAAGAAGAGAGGTATGCAAGTGGATATCGTGTGCAAAAACTGTGGAGAGGAGCTAGAGGAGCACGACCATATATTCTTCAATTACATATATAAGGGCTAAGTTGCGTTGCTATTTTGTGTGTTTTTATGTGTTTATTTGTGTTCGTTTTATTTGATTTTGGGTTTTTTCCGCTCCATTTAGTCGTTTTTGCTCGTTATTGTATTTTTTTGTGTTGTGCTTTTTATTTCTCTTTATATCTTTTATTATGTAGAAAAATGCGTCGCAAGTTTGTTAGACGTCGCTGGAAATCTCGTGGAAAAATTGCCAGAAATTCGCTGGAAAAGTCCCCGAAGAGTTTTCGGCCAATCGGCTCGGCTAGTACCCAGTGGACCCGTGAGCGCCGCGCGTACACACACCTACCACGCGCAGCTCGTGCACTGCCCATGAGACCTCAGCTCGCGCCCTGCAGCAGCTCCCGCGCTTGCACGTAACCCATCTCCAGCGCGCCCGCACTCCTGCGCAAATGGGTAAATTGCACCAAACCCCCTTGTATTATACTAAATCTGCGCGTTATCCCCCTGTAATTTAAAAATTGCGTCAAACCCCCTTGTAATATACTTTTGCATGCGCAAAGCACCTAAACCGTCTAAGATGACGGAAGTGGTGTGCATGCGCGTGCTGTGCGACTTTTTCTTCATTTTTTCACCCTAAAGTCGCAGAAATTATTGTTTTACCCTTGAATTATGTGCAAAACCAAAATGATATGAATGTGGGCAACAAGATTCAAACCTGGGTTGGAAAGGAAGGGAATGGCCGCTCAACCACTGGGCCATATTGGTGGTGTGCAATCTATTGAACCTAAATATATCTATACATCATACTGAAATGAATTAATTAGTTTAAAATAAGTAAATAAATAAAATAAAAGGATAATATGTCAATTTACTAAAGAAAGAAAGTAATATAATTAAAATAAAATATAAATCAAAAATTAAATAAAATTAAACGTGAAATTCAAAAATAATAAATAAATATATTACTATTTAATAAAAAATAAGAAGATAATTTCATTTAAATAAATTAAAATATAATTATAAATGTAAAATAAATGTGAATATAAAATTTAAATATACGTTTTTTTAATTGAAGTAATATAATATATATAAATAATATTTACTTAATTATTATATTATTTATATTTATAATATATTTATTCAATTATTGTTATTTATAATATATAACATATTTACTCCATTATTATAAAATATATATACTGAATTATTATATTACTTATAATTTATAT